GTCCATTACTTAGGGAGAGCGAGGTACCCTATAAGAGTCCATTACTTAGGGAGAGCGAGGTACCCTATAAGAGTCCATTACTTAGGGAGAGCGAGGTACCCTATAAGAGTCCATTACTTAGGGAGAGCGAGGTACCCTATAAGAGTCCATTACTTAGGGAGAGCGAGGTACCCTATAAGTGTCCATTACTTAGGGAGAGCGAGGTACCCTATAAGTGTCCATTACTTAGGGAGAGCGAGGTACCCTATAAGAGTCCATTACTTAGGGAGAGCGAGGTACCCTATAAGAGTCCATTACTTAGGGAGAGCGAGGTACCCTATAAGAGTCCATTACTTAGGGAGAGCGAGGTACCCTATAAGAGTCCATTACTTAGGGAGAGCGAGGTACCCTATAAGAGTCCATTACTTAGGGAGAGCGAGGTACCCTGTAAGTGTCCGTTACTTAGGGAGAGCGAGGTACCCTATAAGTCCATTACTTAGGGAGAGCGAGGTACCCTATAAGAGTCCATTACTTAGGGAGAGCGAGGTACCCTATAAGAGTCCATTACTTAGGGAGAGCGAGGTACCCTATAAGAGTCCATTACTTAGGGAGAGCGAGGTACCCTATAAGTGTCCATTACTTAGGGAGAGCGAGATACCCTATAAGTCCATTACTTAGGGAGAGCGAGATACCCTATAAGAGTCCATTACTTAGGGAGAGCGAGGTACCCTATAAGAGTCCATTACTTAGGGAGAGCGAGGTACCCTATAAGTGTCCGTTACTTAGGGAGAGCGAGGTACCCTATAAGAGTCCATTACTTAGGGAGAGCGAGGTACCCTATAAGTGTCCGTTACTTAGGGAGAGCGAGGTACCCTATAAGAATCCATTACTTAGGGAGGGCGAGATACCCTATAAGAATCCATTACTTAGGGAGAGCGAGGTACCCTATAAGAGTCCATTACTTAGGGAGAGCGAGGTACCCTATAAGAGTCCATTACTTAGGGAGAGCGAGATACCCTATAAGTGTCCATTACTTAGGGAGGGTGAGATACCCTATGAGTCCATTACTTAGGGAGAGCGAGGTACCCTATAAGAGTCCATTACTTAGGGAGAGTGAGGAACCCTATAAGAGTCCATTACTTAGGGAGAGCGAGGTACCCTATAAGTGTCCATTACTTAGGGAGAGCGAGGTACCCTATAAGTGTCCATTACTTAGGGAGAGCGAGGTACCCTATAAGTGTCCATTACTTAGGGAGAGCGAGATACCCTATAAGAGTCCATTACTTAGGGAGAGCGAGGTACCCTATAAGAGTCCATTACTTAGGGAGAGCAAGGTACCCTATGAGTCCATTACTTAGGGAGAGTGAGGAACCCTATAAGAGTCCATTACTTAGGGAGAGCGAGGTACCCTATAAGAGTCCATTACTTAGGGAGAGCGAGGTACCCTATAAGAGTCCATTACTTAGGGAGAGCGAGGTACCCTATAAGAGTCCATTACTTAGGGAGAGCGAGGTACCCTATAAGAGTCCATTACTTAGGGAGAGCGAGGTACCCTATAAGAGTCCATTACTTAGGGAGAGCGAGGTACCCTGTAAGTGTCCATTACTTAGGGAGAGTGAGGTACCCTATAAGAGTCCATTACTTAGGGAGAGCGAGATACCCTATGAGTCCATTACTTAGGGAGAGCGAGGTACCCTATAAGAGTCCATTACTTAGGGAGAGCGAGATACCCTATAAGAGTCCATTACTTAGGGAGAGCGAGGTACCCTATAAGAGTCCATTACTTAGGGAGGGTGAGGTACCCTATAAGTGTCCATTACTAAGGGAGGGTGAGGTACCATTTACTTTCTACATTATATGTTTATGAGATTGTTTTCAGTCATCGGTTATAATTTTTTAGTCCAGACATTTTACTCAAAAATAGTCCCAACCTCAAACAATCTAATTAATGATTTTTTTTTCATTCAAATAAAACAGAAAAATGGTCCCTCAAAAAAAAAAAAACTTTGGAGAATAATTTTTCAACCTCCAGCAGGATATCTATATTTACTTTTGAGGTGTAATATCTACCTCTTGAGCAACATTGGTTACATGTATAACATACCAACCCAATTACTGTACATTATTCTCAAATTCTAAAATCAAGGTGGCTTCAGTTTTATTTTTTACCCCAGTGATATTGGCTTTTCTTTTCTTTTCAAATGTTTAAAATACCTTTTCTTAATCCCAGTAATACTCTGAGTTTATATTTAACTTCTTTAAATATAACATTTTGTCTACTTCACTGTAGTCATATATGACAAAGGTCTGTTTACATAAAAAAAATGATGTGAACAACCAAAATAAATAAAAAAAAACAAATTAAAAAAAATAAGGTCCTGATGACCATTTCTTGAAAAACTTAAATACCATTCTTTATCCTTTTTTGTGGAACAGTAAAACAGATAAAGTTGAGAGAGATATTATTATCAAAGATTAATGTGAAGGGGGACTTAAAATGGTAAATGTAAGATCTTTCATTGATTCTTTAAAGCTGGGATGGATAAGGACATTATAATATAAATCAGGTAAATGGCATGTAATTTTGAAATCTTATATAGATTAACACATGTTGTCTAACTGTGGAACTGATTACATCAAAATCTGTTTAAGAAGAAGCTTTGAGAAGATGTACTTCAGGTATGAACAAAACTGAATCTCAAAGATGGGGAAAGGTACGTACAGGAAAAACATGTCTTGAAAACACTGTTATGGTTTAATCAAATTTTAATTGTAGGGAATGATACTATATTTCAAAAAACATGGTATGATAAAGAAAGGTATTACCATTATAAATGACTTAATGAAAAACATTGATGCCCTTACTTTTTTATCCTCAAGAAGAAACAAATCAATTATACCAATTTAACATTGACTTTCTTAAATATCATGGTATATTATCTGCAGTAAGAAAATATTTATCTAAGATCAACCCTTTGGTACCTATCAATATTGAATTATTTATTTAAAAAGAAAAGGTCAAAACATTTTTATAACACTCTCATCAAAAATGATTCAATTCCTGCTAGTAGGATGAAATGGGAAGAGTTAGTTCAGTTTAACTATCTGGCATGGAAAGAAATTTATAAGATTCCCTTTTTCAGTATCTTAAAATACAAAACTACGGTGGTTTTAATTTAGAAAAGTCCACCATATTTTAACCACAAATTCTTTAATATTTAAACTGGGAATATCAGTTACCCCTCTTTGTTCCAGTTTATTATTAAGAGCAAGAAATTCATATCATGTGGAAGAGTTGAGAAGTGCAGAATTTATTGCAAAACGTAAAGACACAGTTAGATGTATTATTTATTCCATTTTCTTTCAACAAAGAAATATTTCTCTTTGGATTCTTAATACCAAACCATAATCAGACAATAGAACTAACAATGCAATTGTACTTATTGTCAGACACTATATTTACAAAACTAGATGTCTACACAAAAGGGCTTGGTATAAACAAACTTGTAAACATCATAAGGATTATTTAACTATACAAAAATTTAAAGTGAACATTCATGATGATTCAGAAAAATCAAATTTGTAAATGAATGGAGGAAATGGAAGAATCTTATAGATGTTGCAGACTAGGATAGATAGCCAACACTTATTGATTATATTTCTGGGGCTCCTATCATAAAATAATACCCCTGAACCTAAAAGTACACATAATCTTCCGTTGTAGCAACAAGAAATTGTTTGCACTTTTCAAAATAGTTTAAAAAGTAACTCAGAGTTTTTTTTTCCTTTCTCTCTTCCTTGCTATCTCCCTGCTTTCTCTCCACCTCTCTGTATCTTCTCTACCCACACTTTTAACATGACTCTATTCACCTCTTGTGTGTGTGTGATTGTGTGTGTCTATGAGTAAAAGAGTTAAACATATGTGTTGAAATTTAATGATAATAACATCCGATGATCATGATGAAGAATTAAATCTTAATCTTCGAGGTCAGTTTATGATTAATTTTTGATGATGATAAAAAAGAAGGTTGAATGATCACATGATTTTCATTGATATTTGAAATATATATAATGATGCTGATGATGGTATCGAATGAAATATATGGGTGAATGTTGGTGTGCTGTTTGTAGTCTTGTTTCTTATGTACTTTGCAAAAGTTTTGAAAAATAAAACAAACAAAAAAGTTATGTATACATGTTGGCCAATCGTGCTGATTAGTGTTGTTTTATTTCCAACCATACACCAAACACAGCAATCTGCAACTTGAAAACATATAAGCAATGCGAACAAGTATTTTAAAGCCAGATAACCATGTATATGCGATACTGATTGAAAATACTAGGGAAGTTTAACAAACTTTTTTATCGAAGACTACATCCTATGTTATTTACCTTAACTTAAAAAACGCTGTTATTATGAAGTGTTCAACCAGTTATGTAATTATCACATAAGCATTCCATGAGATCCACTAGCACTCTTCAAAGACAAGCGACCACGTATAAATTAATTATACAATTGAGACTTGGTTTTCCGGGTACAGTTAACACATTTTACAGATATTTTCCGTTGAAAGCCCTGAAATAACTTCGTTAGTTCTCTGTGATGGAGAAAACTCAACAAATTATTTATCTCACAAGGGAAAGACGTACATTTTAGATCTTTATAAACAGATCAATATTTCTCATAATGACCGAACTCAATTAAATTAATTCTTATTATTTTCGTCATATTAACATCGGAATATCGGGGAAGATTTATATGTTTAATCAAAACATTTTTGAAAAATTATTTAGGTTTTTTTTCTATCAGCGATATAACCAAATGTAACATTGCAGAGTAACCTCCCATGGAACGAAATCTTTACTCGGTGACCTTAACATTTAAAGATCACGTGCGAGAGTCAACCAATCACTTTTCTTGTTAATACCGCCATCTTTTTCCATTCTGGAAAGTCGCATGGTCTTGGATGAAACGACGAAAGGATCTTAATAGCGATTATATCACTCTATCTCAGACGTCAAATCAATATGTCTGAGGAGGGTGGTGGCAAGATAAAAAACAAGAAAGTTTTGAATCCACCGAAACCATACGAACGGCGGAAAGTAAGTATTCAACGGAAATGATATTTCAGATGTCTGTTTCATTCTGATCATTCATTAGGCCTAGCTAAAGACTAGTTTATAGTTACTAACTTCGGTGAAATCACATGTATTAATGTTTGTTACTTGACTTTTACTGCTTTTACTCAATTCCATTGGAATATTTTATTTATATCATTTAAACTGTTTAGATTACATGTGGATAATATGACTGTAAGTCTGTAAAAACTGATCATCAGACTTGGGAGGGAAAAAACTAAGAAATTTGGACACAGAAGTCTTAAGTTGTTTTCAAAACTTGAAACATGCATGCCATTCGTGGTAAGTCGCTGTTTCATAACTTGCTAATCATGATAGCAAGGCTGTTGTCATCAAAATGTAATGACAAATCTTCATAGATATTTGGTCTTTAACGACTGTACTCTCGCGGTCATTATAACCAGTAAGTGAGGATAGTGATCGATTACTTTCTCCGTACTGATGATGTGACAGTGTTACAACTTTGTTAATCTCACCACACCTAGTGCCATTCTTCTAAGAAATCCCTCTTTTTATAGAAGCACCTTCATGTTTTTGTATGCAGTTGTATTTAGTTTTCTGTGGAGATTGTTCTATTCTGTTCTAATGCTGTTGTATTGAGTGTACAGGTTACCTTACTAGCCTCATCTACTGTAGATTTCCTTATGTAGAACAGTAGAGTGTTGGCAATATATTGAAAGGTTGCTATTTCAAACCCTAGGGGTGTTTTTCCTTACACCTTCCTGTTACAGATATATAGTTGTTGACCATTCCAAGGGTAAAAGCTATAAGAGAATGAGATGCTTCCTTGGAAATGTTGAAAGACTTAGTGAAGGAGAGGGTAATGTAGAAGTTAAGTTACATGATGCCTTACTTGCTTAGGGAATACCAGTATTGTGTCCAACTAGAGACTGAAGAGTTGCTCCTTCAAATCCTGGTAGGTAGGGGCAAGGTATTTTTCATTACTTCTTCCTATTGCACTTCAAAAAATGTAGGTTACCAGTGATGGTGTTTGGAAAGAAATTTGGTGTAAGGTAAAAAAAAAAAAGGAAAAAATACAAACACAGAGTACTCCTGACTCCTTTTCTTTGTATTTCACTATTAATATGGTTTAATATGTGATAGTGATTGAAGTATTTCAATGGCATGATTAATGCCCAGGCTGCAAGTATACTCTGTAGTCATCAAGTTTTGTGCGATAAACAATTACCATTGAATCATCCCTTACCCATTTCCACATCATGGGATGTCCAAGCAACAAATTAAGAGGTTTCAGTAGGCACAGCAACATGATAATAAATCAGCTGACAAGCAGTCTGTTTTCCAAAAGGAGTAAACATGGAGATGATCAGTGATAGACTAAGTGTTTCTGTGTATGCTACCAGATCCATCTGAAGCTTTTCAAAGACTATTACAATGCAGGCAGTTCAAATGTGGTGTCCATACATTGTTTTTCTCAACCTTTGTATATTGTTATGTTCCAGTCATTCCTTGGAAAAGTTACAGACACTGTTAAAGAATTGATTTCGCCATCTTGGCTATCAGACTTGGTGAATAGTGTGAAAAAACCAAGCCCACAGCGAGGAGATGAACTGTCAACTCCTCCAGTCCAAGAGCCACAGTATATGGTAAGGTATTCTTTTTTGTTTTATTTGTATCTGGCTAAATATGGACGTCATTCCCAATAACAAAACCTTGATGATTGCCCAATGAAAGAACTAAAATTCCATAAGTAATATTAGTTTAACAAATGATTAATATCAAGTAAATAAAGAATGGAGCATCAACATCAGGGATTCTGTGACTTATTATTTTATTAGTTGACTAGGCCAACTGTCATCTGAACAATTTTACGTCAAGGAAGCTGAAGTGCAAAATATGGTTAAAGAAATTGATTGTTTCAATCAGTGATGTACAATTGTTCAGAATTTCATGCTAGGTTTCGGTACATTAAAATGATTGTGGATGGTGCTGTCCTATGAACAATTTTGTTTACAGTAAGCTTGTTCAGATGGTTATGTATTTGCCTCTGCAAATTGTATGATCTACATGAGAGATATTATGATGGAATTTTAACAGCTCTTGTTATTTTTTCTTATCTGAGATTTTGTCACTTTTTTCATCAATTTAAGGTCATGGGGCCCATTCCCAAAGCAGTGAAAAAATGTCCTGTTAAATATGATTCATATTGTGTTTCATAATGTGGAAACAATGTTTAATAAAATTTACTGATTCTGATGTCTTTCCAGAGTTCCCTTCCATCGCAGCAACGTAATAGGATTCCATCTAGAGATTCTTCTCAATATTGTCCTCCAAAGTTTGTACCATTGACACGAAATGGTCTGGCCAACCTTTCCCCCAGGTCTTCGTTACCTCTGGTACCCTCCTTGCCACTTCAGCAGCCCCCACAGCAATCGCAACCACCAATGACATTCTGCACCCAAAAGAGTGATAATGGAGAAGGATTGAGGAAAAACCAAACACAACCAAGCATTTTCTTGCAAGGTAGAGAAAAACAGAGTAAGGTTTACAAAAGGAGGAGAATATTTCTTAACCTTGGTTTTCCTTCTATATGTAAAGTTGTCTCCTCCTGGGAGCAGGTATTGATTATGTCATTTGCTGGTGAGAAAATAACATCATGCGAAAACAGCATAATTTTGTCATACAATTAATGAAGTAACAATCACAACATGGAATTATTCTAGAAATAAATGAAATGAAAAATAGACACCTTACAAGTCAAGAAATTCAACATCAATGATAGTACAAAGATATGTGCTTGTTATTGTTTTATTGTAAAATATGTTAATATGTCCTTTCCAGATACTAAATCAGTTGATAGAAATAGGAACTTTTTGAGTAATTGCACAATTGGGAGGGGGCAGTTGGACAGTGATATTTCATCAGGGCCAAGTGATGATATTGCCAGACCAGGACCTAGCAATACAGAGACAAACCCTGCAGATATCTCATCCATTTGTAATCACAATGAGAGTGAGGAAAGCGAAGAGCAGGAAGAAACACTACCTGCATCTGTAAATCGTAAGTTGTTTCATACAATGATATCATTGTCTCAACTTTTTGGATTCTGTTGCATCCCTTCCTGTTTTTATTCCCTATAAAATGTATTTATGGGGGATATTGATTTTATAGCTTCAAAACCATTCCACTCAATTCCACAAAACTTTCAGTATATATTAGGTTAGTGCCATAGTTGTGCCTTTTGCTATTGGCATTTCATTTTTTTTCATATTTTATATCTGTTACCATGGAAACAGTCAAAAAGCACAAAATTAGTCCACAAAGCTTTCTGTACAAATATTAGGTTAGTGTCCTAGTTAAATTTTTCTGCCATTGAAACGGATAACCCTCATCACAAATTTCAGCTTTTCTTGACCAATGCTCTAAAATCATTCAAGATAGTTGTTCAAAACTTCTTGTTAATATAATTAGGGGAAGTTCTCCATTTGGATAGCTTCAGTGTAGATAGTCTTGTAATGTTAACATCCACACATTTCAACCACTTTAATTGCTAAATGTCATCTGATAATAGGTACTGCCAAACTTCTCCTAAAATACGTAAAAAAAAAAAAATTAAAAGTAGAAATAAATCTGTTGTTTACATAGGTGACATCTTCATTTATACTGTATAACATGAAATGTTTGTAATTTTCATGTTTATATACAAACCTTGAAGATAAAATGCGATGGATAAAACTTTACTTAAAGAATTAAGTGAATATTTATGAGACATCCATGAAAGTTTTCACCCTTGGAAGGATGCATAAGACTTAAACCATGACAGAAATTACCTAACAACATTTTATGTTATACAGTCAGGATTTTCCATAATTTTGTTAGTAGTAGGCTGTGTAGTGAAAGTAGGAGGCTGGTGAAGCAAGCCGACCCGAGTCGCAATGCGGCGAGGTGCTGGCGGCCTGCCGTGTACGTGTAGTTGTGTACGGAACATTATTACGGAACTGGATTGGTGTAGACGGCCAAATGATCAAAGAAGCCGGTCAAATTGGCCGGCGACCGGATCTTATAGAAAACCCTGACAGTACTTAAAATGAAGCATATCAATTGTTGTTAGTGATGTAGTTAGAAATGGACTCAAAGTAGACTATAGAAGCATTCCCATTTACCCCTACAGAGAGATCTTTACCCCTAAATTTCATCTTGTAGCCTATTGGAAACCTGGAAAGTATTGTTTGATATTCTTGTTGTTACTTTTAATCTCAACCCATGGAAGTTACTGTTATAGATTGAAATGGAGTAATTTTACCTTTAGGTTTGAACAAATCAACAACTTGGACTGAAGGATTCACTGCCAGGAAGTCAAAACCGTCAAGTTACAGCAAACCTGGATTTGACATATCCCTATTTGGGGCGCCCCTTCATGTATGTTTTTTCTTTTTCTAAAATTATCTGAATGATTTCTACAAAAAATAATTTTTGCAATGATCCTTTTAGAATTGAAAATGAAAAAGAGATGTATTTGAAATGAAGTTAATTAAATAGTCACCAGAAAAGAAGGAAGTCATAATAAGTATAAGCTTTTTCTTATACTTGATATTGTTTGTGAAATCCATGTCCAATTATTATCATTTCAATAAGAAGGTTAAAAAAATCTATTATACAATGTGCTATGTTTAAAAGTTGTTTTCTTTTCAGAGTAATTCCCTCTTGGGGGAAAGTTCTCATGAGTCATCATTTTATCCCGGTAAGACAACCTACGGAGGAGCGTCAGCGCAAAGGAAGACAAGGTTAAATGTCACAGGGCCTTATCAGGTAACATAACTTAATTAAAGGTAGATAGCAGCATCTGCCTATATAGACAATTTCCTAAACTAATTCCAAATCATTAGCTATGTATACATGATGAGATATGTCTCTGTTTCTTTTCAATACAAGTTATCTTCGAACTTAAAGATAAAATTGTCTAGAATTTAAAAAAATAAGTGAAATTATTTGTGATGGTGTAATTCAATTTGGAAAGCTTTGATAATTTCTCATGTATATTGAGTCCAATTATTCCTGTTGTGAAAATCTACATGTTTCTTTATGTGTTATTGCAATTATATAAAATACTTTAAATTTTAGTGTTTAGAATGTAAACATTTCTGTATGCTTCAGTCACCTTTCCCAATGCGTCAAAAAATGAAAGTAAAGCCAGTCAATACATCTAGAAGTGCTGCAACTAGTTCAACGGCACAGAAGATTCTGGAAACACTAGAAAAGATGTCAACTCCATTGTCTGTAAGTTTGATAAATGGGTGTACTCTAATGCGCCATACAGTAATCAGAATTAATTCCATTTTCATCATCTTATGTAAAACCAAAATTACCACCTGATTTTCTATTACCAGCTTATAAGTTAACTTCAGGATTATACAAGTTCTATCTATTCTGTTCATGAAGAAATGGGACAAGCTCAAGGAGGAAATACTTTTATGATTTTTGCCAAAGAAACTATACTTTACTTTCTGATGTTGATACTAATTTAAATATGTTTTAATGTGATATGATTATTTGGATATTAGCTTGCTTCTCTTTACTTGTCATTACCACAGCAGATGTTTTAATGTTTCATGTTGTTTTAGTATTTTAGTATTAGTGGGTGTCAAAATGATTTTTCCAGTTTTGTTTCTTAGTGTATAAATTTATTGCCATAATATTGAATAGATTGATTTACATTGTGTAACAAATGTTACCTGTTCTTGTAACTCAGAAAATTAATTTTGGCTTCTGCTGATTTCAGGAAGCTAAGAAAATACCTACTGATGATACAGTGTTGCGACTGAATTCTTCATTCAATGTAAGTATTTTCATATGTAGCAGAAATGAGTGGTCTGTTTGGATGTTAATATTTTTGAAAGTTGGTTGAAGAATGAATTCTGCATAAAAAAAACCCATTGATTTTATGCCAATGCCACAAAATAGACAGGTGGGGTGGTTCGTAGCATTGCCTGGGTCAAGTCTCTCCCATCCCATTCAGATCCAATTCAATGTAATCACCTTGCAACTTTATTCTTTGACAGATTTTGGTCAAACTTAATGTAAAGATCAATCAAAAGTATATTTTTTATGTCTTGTGTTTCGGGGCCCAAGGTCAAGGCCAAGGTCACCCTTGTTATATATAGAAAATTGTCACCTAATTTGATTTAAACCCTTACCATATTCCTTAGAATTCAGTCTAGGGTTAACGGAATGATCAAGTAAAAGTATGCTTTAGACAAAGTTGTGTTTCAGAGGTCAGAAGTCATAGTCTTGGCCGTGGGGGGCAATTAAGTCCTGCAGAATTATTCTAGATTTCTTTTCTTTGATAAATCATTTTTTGAAATAATATTTCTTGGTTTCAGCCTACAAGTTATAAACCAGCACGCCATAGCATAGGCTCCTACCTTAACACAAGACGTGAACTACAGGTGAGGAATTTACCAACTTTATTGTGTTACATAAGGTATTCACAGGAGGTTTTTCCTTACCATCACTCTTTTGGTGTATACTTAATGCCTATATATTTATTCTTTGTTTGTGTGGTAAACATCAGATGTAAAACCTCCTAACTGATATTATTATTGGTGTGATGGAGAAACTTGTAAAGTACTGGCTTTTGATAAATTCGCTTGATATCTATGACTTTAAAGACAACCATGATTGCAACTGATGGTCCAAATCAATTTTAAAAAATCACTATATGTGGGAAATCATCCTCAATATTGCAGGGGTTACAATCACTTTCACTCTGCACCCAGCAAAATCACAAAAAATCACAAGATTACAGGAGATCAACACCTAATGTCAAATCCATTTAACATATGTGACACTGAGATTTGTTTGATGTACATCAAAGGATCAAACTGGTCTTTTCATCTTGTCCACATAGTGTCGCACAGGGAACTTTCATTAATGTCGAAGATGGTGGCAAATTGTTTTTCACAGTTTAGCTGTAGTCCCTTTGTTAAAGGGTGAAATTAAACACTGAGTGAAACATATTAAGTTGAGCATATTTTCAGAAGATGTTCAGTTTGATACATGAGCAAATAAACTTACGGTGAATGTTTTCCTGTATACATGGCAATATGAAAATGCTTCCTATTCACAAAGTTCAGGTCTTAATACTCTGAACAGTGGGGCATGAAGCTATTATGTTTTAGATTGATCTACTTTGCATCTTAAAAGCATGTAGTTATCCCCCCTTAAGCACGTTAGTAGGGGATATTAAATTTGCTTTGTCATTTCATCCATCTGTGTGTCTAGACAAGGGTATTATCTGGACCAGAGCTCAAGTTAACAACTGAAATTTTTGTACAGTTACTAAGTTGGTACTCTAGTAGTGCCTGTTGTGATAGAGACATTCTACATTTAAATAGTTTTTCTTTTATTGTGGAAAACACATGGGTCAAATGACAATTTCAGGCCAGGACTTTGAAAGTGTTCAGAATTACTTCTCAAAATCTTATACAGGTATAAAGCTAGTACTCATGAAATGGAGCAGTTCTCTTTTTAATCACTTTATCTGTTACCATGGAAACATGCCAAATTATTAATTTTTTCAAGAGCAGAGCTCTAAAATCATTGAAGATAGATACTTGAATTTTTTTACATTCAAGCTAATACTGATATTGACAATGCTGGAATGGATTTAATACCTGTTATTGTAATATATATGATTGTGTGTCTTTCTTCTTAACAATTCATATTTTGTTAGACATATTAGGTTTCTGAGTCATATTGCAATGAGTTATATTGAGTAATAATTTAGAGACTTGGTTGTAGAAATCCCAGAGTGGCCCACCAACAGGTAAAGTTAGCACACCTGTACCAGCCTCCATCAGTCGTAACTACCAGCGAGTAACAGTTCCCCAGACACAGTCAGACAAGGTAAAACCTTTGTTTAAAATATAACTACACATAGACCATGTGCCACAGTACTGCAAAACATATTGAATGATTAGTTTCTGCTTTGTTTGGAATCATTTAAAGTGTAAGGTATTCATTAGTAATCAAGAAATATGATATTCAAAATGGTTTTTGACGCATCTTTAATGTGTTTCAGGGTTTCTTAAATGCAAAAGTACCTACAAAGATCAGGTAAGTGATTTTTCATGTCAATGTTTGAAGGAAGGGGGGAGGGGAGTCATAGTGTTACCCAATGTCTATCTTTACCTGTGCTGTTGTGTCAGATTCCCGATTGATGCCGTCACTCGAGCAATTGAACTTGAATGTGATCAAAATATTTTAGATAACTTTTTATTTCAGTGTTCTTAGGTCAATATTACATTTAGCCTTTATAGAGGTTCATCAAATATTGATTCTTAAATACATTTCACTGAAGCCATCCATGTTGTATACATTGGACTGAAGCCATCCATGTTGTATACATTGGACTGAAGCCATCCATGTTGTATACATTGGACTGAAGCCATCCATGTTGTATACATTGGACTGAAGTCATCCATGTTATGTACATTGGACTGAAGCCATCCATGTTATGTACATTGGACTGAAGCCATCCATGTTATGTACATTGGACTGAAGCCATCCATGTTGTATACATTGGACTGAAGCCATCCATGTTATGTACATTGGACTGAAGCCATCCATGTTGTATACATTGGACTGAAGCCATCCATGTTATGTACATTGGACTGAAGCCATCCATGTTGTATACATTGGACTGAAGCCATCCATGTTATGTACATTGGACTGAAGCCATCCATGTTGTATACATTGGACTGAAGCCATCCATCTTATGTACATTGGACTGAAGCCATCCATGTTATGTACATTGGACTGAAGCCATCCATGTTGTATACATTGGACTGAAGCCATCCATATTGTATACATTGGACTGAAGCCATCCATGTTATATACATTGGACTGAAGCCATCCATGTTATGTACATTGGACTGAAGCCATCCATGTTATGTACATTGGACTGAAGCCATCCATGTTATGTACATTGGACTGAAGCCATCCATGTTATGTACATTGGACTGAAGCCATCCATGTTATGTACATTGGACTGAAGCCATCCATGTTGTGTACATTGGACTGAAGCCATCCATGTTATGTACATTGGACTGAAGCCATCCATGTTATATACATTGGACTGAAGCCATCCATGTTATGTACATTGGACTGAAGCCATCCATGTTATATACATTGGACTGAAGCCATCCATGTTATATACATTGGACTGAAGCCATCCATGTTATGTATACTGGACTGAAGCCATCCATGTTATGTACGTTGGACTGAAGCCATCCATGTTATATACATTGGACTGAAGCCATCCATGTTATATACATTGGACTGAAGCCATCCATGTTGTATACATTGGACTGAAGCCATCCATGTTGTATACATTGGACTGAAGCCATCCATGTTATGTACATTGGACTGAAGCCATCCATGTTATATACATTGGACTGAAGCCATCCATGTTGTATACATTGGACTGAAGCCATCCATGTTATGTATACTGGACTGAAGCCATCCATGTTGTATACATTGGACTGAAGCCATCCATGTTATGTACATTGGACTGAAGCCATCCATGTTATATACATTGGACAGAGATTATTTATGTTATATAAAATGGACTGAGCCATTCATGTTATATAAAATGGACTGAGCCATTCATGTTATATAAAATGGACTGAGCCATTCATGTTATATAAAATGGACTGAGCCATTCATGTCATAGGTCTTGCAGCCATTTACATAAAAAGAATCATAATTACTCGGATGATTGATGATATTTACAAGTTCCAGATAGATAGCTAAAAAAAGTCATGTTGGGCTGTAGTACTGTACATATTTATTGTGGTTTTGTAACCGTCATGGATGAAATATTTGACTTTGATGTTATTGTAGTCGACCAACCCCTCAGGAACCAGAGAAGACGCCGAGCATTGCATCAGGGGGTGGAAAACTGAAAAGTAAAAAGTTTCAGCAGCACTTTCCAGGACGGAAGGCTGCTGAAGAGGAGGAAGAAGAGGTAAAGTCTAAAATATTTCAGTAACATTGTCAGCTCTGGATAATCCCACATAATGAGGGATTACATATTTCAATCAAGCAGTTCTCATAGCTCTACATCAACCTAAACCAAATATACCTCAGTTACAATGCTAACAGCCAGATTCCTATCAATAATAAATCTAAGGTTTGTAAAAGTACTGAATTTGATTAATTCTTCATTAATTACTTCTAGTATACATAAATGTAATGCTCATGCATTACCTTGATAGTTTCCACAAGCTATTGCAACAAAAATAAAGCAACTGAGTTTGTTGAGAGGGTTTTTTGTTTTTTTTTTTTTCTGAAGGGAGGGGGGGACAAGATTATATGTTTTCAAATATTTTCTTAGTTTTATGATTATGATATAGACAGGAAGCACATTAAGTCTTTCTTGTATTATTTAACACCTTGTAGACCAATATCTACTTGGAGCTTTTCTATAACTTATGTAATTGAGTGATACAAAATCTTTGAAGATGATCCTACATATCTCACTTGTACTACTGATATCAGATTTAGTTGAACAGCTTTATCACAAGATACAAGTGTGGTCACAAACTGTAAACTTGAAAAGAGGCTTTTCATATTTTCACAGATTTATTATTAGTTTATTCATGTTTTGCATTGCTATTAGATAAAAACATACAAATGAACTGATGATTTATTTTTAGGTTGAAATGCCCAATTTACGAACAGAATTCACATTGCCAGTGATTGGTACCCCTCAATTTGATTTTGGAACATCACAACTTACCAAGCCAGTGGAAAAGAAGGCAGAAAAGTCCAACGCAGAATTTACTTTCGCGACACCCATACAGAAAACCCCAACTAAACAGTCGGACCAGGTCCCACCCACAAAAACAGTGAGATATTCTATCTTTGGATTACTAAATCTAACTTGCTCAGAATTTTGTATAAGAATAAGTTAAATTTTTCTTATAGAGTTTTTTGATGTAGAATCATAAAGCATCTGGTTAGTGTCAAGTACGTTATTTGCCTATTTCTTGCAGAGATCATTGCTACAGAGGTAGTGGAAAGAAAAAACTGTCCATATTCACAGGGTTAAATTTGTTTTCAACGCAAACAACTTCTTTAAAAGTCTTAATGTGATAATATTTCACCAGAAACTTTATTGCATTAAGTGCTTTGAATTTCAAGTTTTTTTATTTGGTGTAGACTCCATTATGAAGGTCAGTGATGTTGGAATTGTTTTCAAAAAGCATCAAATATCAGATGTGCGATGTAGGTCGTCGGGGCCTCTTGCCTAACATTGTTCAGAAGATTTCTCTCATATGAGAACCAAACAGTAACAAAAGTGGCATTCATTAGACTGAAAATACATACGGACAGTCCCAGAATTAAATGTAGGGACAGCGGGTGGCAGATGAATTGTTTTGTTGGTGGTTTGGACAACACCAAAAAATAAATTTTATGTGTGATCAGTGATATTACAAATTTAATAAAATGGGTGACTGGTTAAACGGGAATCCCAAAAAAAAAAATGTTGCGGTAGACTTGATATAGAAAGTCCGATAACTCATTTAGGTTTTGAAACTCTTTTGGAATGCGAGAACTAATGCAACTTTGAAAAAAAAAAAAGGTGAAGGATAAGGAAGTGCTTGAAGTAACAAGTTTGTGTGATATTAAAGTATGTATACATGCTTAGGTATTGAATAAACTTTATTTCATGGGTTGTTAGGGTAAAAAAATAAGTGCCTCCCAACCTGCACCTGCATGATCATCACATTTAACTCTTCAACCGCCCTAACCATTATCACAATTGCCATATTAGATTGTTAAGAAGTAAATTAAGTAATCTGTGTATGTTTTCTATAGGACTTCACCTTTAGTTCTCCACTGAATATGGAAAATGAGAGTAATTTAAAGCCCAAATCTGTCACATTTGACATTGGGCCAGTGAAGGACAAAGAATCTCCAGCCGCCTTCTCCTCACCCGCCTTCAAGTTTGGAAGTCCTATGGGCCTTCAGTCCAAGTCTCCATCAAACCTTGGAGCATCACCAGTCCTTCCCAGATCTTCAGGTACAACCATTATATCACAGAGGACATTTATTTAGTCCTAGTATAAACGATTCCATTCTCTACGATGTGATTGTTTCTGATGGATTTTGAGTAATGCTTAAAAGAATTTGTGAAAACGAGATATTTTTGGTGAATGTGTGTAACTTTTTTCTTTTTTTTTTAGTTATTGTTTTATTTTCATTGTTTGCATATTTTTCTTGGATAGGGATATTTTACATCACAAAGATTCTAATTTTGTAAAAGTTAAATAATAAATGAAGAATATGAAAGAGTAAATTAGACTACACAAGTATTGCTATCATATGAACAATTTAGTGATAAATCTTATTTTTAAAAAATTGAACACACTTTGTAAGTTAAAGTGAAAATTTTGTATTGCAGGAGGTCTGGTTCCTGCCACGGAACTGAAATCTGGTAGTGTGATGGATGTTCTTGGTAAGTCAGGGGAGAGTGGCTTCAGTTTTGGCTCTACCAAGACCAACAAAGACACAACAAGCATGGGTGGATTCAAACCTGCATCAGAACTGAAGCAAGGCAGTGTGATGGATGTTCTGGGTGGATCCAGTGCCAAGACATCTTCATTCAATAGCAGCTTTGAACCTGCCAAAGAACTCAAAAAAGGGAGTGTTACAGATGTTCTTGGTAAAAGTGAGTGTATAAAAAAGAAATGCATAACTGTGAAAAACATGTTTTGATGTCTTTCAAATATATAAAAACATTAAGTACTGGATCTTTGATAATTTGGATATAAAGTACAGTCAAGGGATGTTGACATTGACAAAGATTATCAGTGTTGTCAGAGAAAATGCACAAACATTACTGAGATCTTCGATTTGGTTTGTATGCCCCCACTTAGGTACAGGAGGAGAGTATATATAGTAATCACTTAGTCTTATCCACGATAAGTTTGTGTACAAGATATAATGTCAACCAATAATAGATTAACCCCTCAATGTATTTATATCAAATGAAAAAGTGGTTGATGGTTATATCTACATGAGCTGCTACTCACATTGTTTTGATTAACAATGTTTCTTGATCATTCACAAATTTAAGGAGAACGCTTTATACCTGGATTAAGATATATCCAGTGTACAGTGAAGTGGTTCCTCCATTGCGTGACAGTTATGTTATCAAGTCATCCACATTCAATGGAGGTAATGTGAATGTATGTTAATTACTTGCTTTTATGTGCCGAGGAGAGGGAGATTACAATGTCATTTTTTACTTGGTGGACAAATGCAGTTGGCACATGTGGACTTAGGAATCATCTGTTAATAAGGATTTTTGTGCTCTAGGTTCAAAGGAGGACAGCAAACCCAGTCTGTCCGCCATGTTTAAGGTCGCAGAAGGCAGCTGGGAGTGTGATTCCTGCTGTATCAACAACACAGCTGATATCATAAAGTGTGTAGCCTGTGGAGCCAAAAAGCCAGATGCTGCAGGTTTATATCAATTTATGTAACAAAACTAAACATCACGATTCATTCTTCCAAATGCACGTTTGTTCCCAATCCAGAAATTCAAGGGAACTAACTTAACACAATTTAGGAGAAAAAAATGGCAAAAGATTACTAGTTATACAAGGTGATCACATGGCTTGGCCAAAATGGCCTTGAATCCTTGTGAGGGCCATTCATTAGTAAGCATTTTTGTTGGTTTTAGTCAAGCTGACTCATGGCACGTTTGTAATGCAAAATCACACCAATATATTTCTGTGGACTAGCCACAAGCAAGTTTCCTATTTGCTTGGATTTGACATGAGAAGAAAATAACGAAAACATGTGAAATAAATGAAGTAAAAATGGCATGTAACATATGCTTCTATCCACTGCATTCCTTGCAAATTTGCCTCCCGACCATCCCACCCGTTTTTACTTAAGAACAGCTCTATATTGCTTCTTGACTTCATACAACTGAGGAAATGCATGGCAACTTAGTTGTTACTTTTCTGAAAGTCTCCATATCAGTATTTGGTTTCAAATGGATCAGTTTCTCAGAAAGTTTAGATAATATGGCATTCAGATTTGGTTATCTTTAACAAATACCAAAGGTGGGGTCAACATTTGGCCTCCACATAGATTTCTATTATTTTTTCGTCCTATGTAGATACATGAAAATAACCTACAACCACATAAATGATTAGTTGTTATAACTACTTATAGTCATACTGGACCTTGTATAACACCAGGTTGAGTGACAAAGGTACCCTAACATAATGACTAATACTTGTTACATTAGAATTTTAAATGAAAATATTTATATACCAGTCTAACGTACATAAAATGTCCATTATTTTGATACCACATACGTTATATTGGCATAAAAAATGTAAGCATATTGATAACTTAAAAAAAAAATGCAAAATTTTCACTAAGTAAAGAATATCTCAAAGTATGTCAAGTTCATTTTGTAAAGTTGCAATCTCAGTCTTTATATTATACTTCTTTAAAAAAAAATTCTATGTATATATGCTGTCTATTGAATAAATTTGAAGTGATTTCAGAACAGGTAAAATATATTTTTAACAAAATTTAAATATGCTTATTGCATGATTTGCCTTAATAATGAAGATTTAGTTTTGTTGTTTTTTTGTGCCAAATACTGCTATTTACATGATGTTTTCTACACTAGAAATCTATCCTCTAAAGAACAACTGACAGCTGTTTGTATTATAAAAACTTACCAATGATTAAATAATCAGTATTACTGATAACATGTTACGGTCATTCCACTTTTCTTCGTATAACAATAATGGATATAAATTAATTTGATATTCTAATTAATAAACAAGGCCAGAAATGATAACCTTGTCTGACACTTGAATGTGCAAGTATGTTGATTTCCTGAAACATATAAAGGTATTACTTTAAAATATTCATACCATTTTTGCTAAGTATCTATAGACAATTACATAGACAAAGTTACACTTATGTTAGACATTCTGAATTAAATTCAAATTACTGCAAATCTCCTATCAAGTTTACTGATAATCATGTCAGACATGTGCATAGGTCGTGGTTGCAAAACCAGGTTGAAAGATATATCTCAAAAGAGACAGAGCTCAAGTAAGACATGTATATTTACCCCAGTATAACTGACTGCACCAGATGCTGACTGCTGGGATCATTAGCATAACAGAAGAAAGCATATTGTGTGGAAACTGCTACAAGTGGTACCTCAAGCAACCTTCTGGTATGAGCACTCCAGATGACCTGGCGAATGATGCAGATGATGCTTACACTGATTTCATGTCATCAAACCAACTACCACTAATCTCTGTTGAGAAATTATTTTATGGTGGCATTTTGCATAAAAGATATGTCATATGTGGTAAAGAGAGCACTGGGCTATGCACTATACCCCAGTGTGCCAGGACAACTTTATATTTTTCCTTTTTCTATGGTGTCCCCCTGATGTTCATGTTTGCAATGACCACGTAATTGATGACTTTCTGAATCCTTCTTTGCCACTAGATCTGCAAACAATGGAATTAATAGCTCTTCATCTCCAAAAAGAGCTAATCAGGTTATCAATGACCTCCTTGAACTAAGCCATTTCCTTTCTGCTGTTACTCCAACCAACACAGGCATAGATGTAGACCATCTCAGGAATGAAGAATTTAAAGCATGGACTGGTTACACACTTTAACAAATGCAGCAAATCCATAGCATTTGTTCCTCACACATGAATAGAGGATCATGTTCCTTTACATTCCATGTTTTTTTTTCTGGGTTTAACTGAGGACCAATATTTCATGGTCTCAACTGGGTGTCTTGTGTGGTCTGATAGAAAAACAATATGTGTCTCACACATTTCATAGTGTCTTAAAAGCCTTGAGCCAGACCATTGTGCCCTGTTGCCATGGACTAAGACACAAAACCCGCGAGGACACTAAGTGCCACAACACTGCCTTGACAAAATGTTTCTACAGGGACAAATTAATTGTAATCTTTGGTGGTACTTACATTTATGTCCAAAAAAGTGCTGATCACTCCCTTCAAAGATCCTCATATTGGGGCAAAAGAAGCGCAACTATGTTCAATGCATGAGCGTTGTCTTTCCAGATGGTTATGTACTAGACACTATTGGGCCTTTTATGGCAATGAAAAGGATGCAAATATCTTGACAAAAATTCTTGGAACAGTTGAGAACCTGACCTTTTGGCTCATTGTTGACCGGAGGTTTAGGGATGTGCTGGGGCTTCTGCGAGGTTCAGGGTTTCTGTGTACATGCCTTCCTATCTTCTGTCAGGTCAGACACAGCATGATACACTTATTGCCAACGAGGACCGTCAGTGTATTAAGTCCAGATGGGTTGTGGACAGCTACCATGGTCGACTGAAACAGTGGAAACTGTTCAGAGAACAACTCAACTCAAACTACTTCCTTAGTGTCATAGAGGAACTGGTTAAAATATCTACTGCTTCCTTGAATGCTGTACATGGACCAATTTATGTGTCCACAAGAGAGGGACTTGAGGGACTGTCGCCTTGCTGAGCGAATGCAATCCCGTTTGGCTCTGCCCAACACCTTGGCCTCCAGGGTTGCAGATGAACATGACTTTTCTAGACGCAACAAGGCCAACTGGGTGAAACTTGATGCCTGTTCAATAGAGTTTCTAGTACTGGATATGTAATATTTAGAAACAGTAACCTGCGGATCATACCAGTTGAAAGTAGCACCCAGTTATATTGCTGAGAATCTGGCTCCTGCTGGAGACTTTGAAGTTTGGGTCTATCAGCATGATGAAAATCTTCTCTGATGCCAAATCCATTCAAGGCACAAATCACAGTCAAAATACAATGTTTGGATTGCGTTTGACAGATATGATCAAGACGACCCTGTCAAAGATTACTCCTGTGTCTGTCCAGCGGGCAAGCAAATCCTTGGAACGTGTGCACATGTTGCATGCATTTTGTATTTTTTGGGCCATGGTTAGCATCAAGATCGAACTAACCCAGTCCATGCAACACTCGAGTTCTAACAAGCAATCACTTGAGCAGTTCTGCTATACTAAAACGCAAAAGGATTCGAACTAACAAAGGCAAAACCTGTCTCTATTACTGTACATAATCTAGCTGATAAGGTCATTTTATTGACCTTCATCAAAAGATTTGTATAAAGCTGCTAACTAAATCTTCAAATTGTGAAACTTGCACAAAAATGTCTTTCTTAACAAATTTTGTTTGTGTGACCTTGAACAGAGGTCAAGTTCAGCAATGTTAACCAAACTGATACAAATTGGCATGAACAACCACCTTGTTAAATAGCAAGACCTACAGACTTTTGGTTATTAAGCTGTCACTATCTAAAAACAATGAAGAAAAAATCAGTGTTTCTTGGGGTTTTTTTGAAGCAAAGGTGTAAAATGACAAATTTACTGGTTTTAATTTTTTCCAACAATCCTCCTTTTGAAAGATACCGTCTGTGGCCAACTTTTAAGCACGTATGAAAAAATAGACTGATTTCAGAATGTGACAATTAAAGTGTCCAAAACAATACTTTTCTCAAAAGTAATGGCTTTCTATATTAATTTGGCTGCATTTTTCAACAGAAAAGAAACGTTTCTCCTGAAATAGTGTGATATGTGGTATCAAAATGTTGGTTGATACAATGTGCACATATTAATGACATAATTTTATTGGATCTGCCTCGTAATAATGCACTAGAAGGAATTACACAACAACTACTTTAACACCCACAAAGGTGTTAGTCAAGGATCTCCCATTTTATAAGAAATCAATTCCAAGACTTACTTTTCTGTATTTAAGCTTCTGATACCCATATCTTTTAATGGTTATATTTTGAATTTCTAAGTGGGGGCCAATGCTAATGTTATATCCCCATATGTGTTGACCCCACCTTTTAGTTGATTTTTAGAAGTTTACAATAAATGATTATGTAAGTTGTAGGCCAATTACTGTACTGTACAAATATTGTACTTACAACCTTGGTTTTCAGTTATTCAGCTATCAATTTTTCTTGTTTAAAATGCATGTCAAGAAGGAAGTCTTATTAATGCGTGACTACAGATGATTTGATGAAATTTACAATCATACCTTACAGCTTGTATCAGTGACATTGAAAATTATTGCATTTTGTGGAGAATGGATTAAAAATTCCATTAGCGTTAAAAAAAATTTGAATGGAAATGTTCTCAATATAAGTGTCACTAACTGAAGGATTTTTAAAGTGACTGCAGCCATTTCTAAAATTTTGATGATTCACATAAGATATATAGAGGGGCCTCAGAATTTGAGTCACAAAAAATATCAGTCAAGAACTTGAATATCTGAGTCCAAAAATCACTGTAACAGAAATTATGCTGGGTAATGAGAGGAAAACCTCTGATTTATCTTTTACTTACTATTTAGGTTCTGCGTCACCCTCCAGTCAACCAAACTTGTCGTCCGTATTTAAAGTTGCAGAAGGATCATGGACTTATGACAGCAGTATGATACAGAATAAGTCTACTGATACAAAATGTGTCCCTTGTCAGGCAAATAAACCAGGATCTGCTGGTAAGATCATAGTATCAAAATTATTGTTTTTAGAATTCCATGTAGTGACATATTTTGAGGGGAAAAAAATTTTGATTAATTTCACTGATTTCAGTTGATTTCATTAATATTGCTTTTCAGGTTCTGCTAATTCTCCTGTAAAAGAAAGTTCAACTGCCAAATTCGAGAAACCCACAGGAAATTGGGAATGTGATACCTGTCTAGTTCCAAATGATGGAACAGCCTCCAAATGTATAGCATGTGAGACACCTAGGCCTGGACTTCAACTTAAACCATCAGGTAAGTCATATGAGACACCTAGACCTGATATTAAACCTGTTGGTAACGCATGTGAGACATCTAGACCTGACCTTCAGCCCACTGGTAAATCATGTTTGATACCTAGACTTGACCTTCAACCCTCTGGTAAATCATGTGTGACACCTAGACTTGACCTTCAACCCTCTGGTATATCATGTGTGACACCTATACTTGACCTTCAACACTCTGGTAAATCATGTGCGACACCTAGACTTGACCTTTAACCCTTTGGTAAATCATGTGTGACACTAAGGCCTTTCCTTCCCTCTTCCAATAAGTGATTTTAGACATCAGGTAATTCATTCAAGACAACTGCATATAAATTTTCATTTTACCTTGACAGACACTTGTTGAACAGTTGACAAAAATATTGGTTTAGATGGATAATTCACACATAGGAAATGTTAAATACTTAAAAATCAGTGTTTGGATGGTTCACACTGATTTGAAAAACCCCTCAAATCATTATTAAATCTTGAAAACCCTTAATTCAAACATGTTTTTTACCATATTTAAATGTTTGTGAAATTGAATGTTTTCATTATTTTGAAACTTTTAAATGGTCATTGGTTTTGTCTTGTGTGACTTAGAACATTTCATTGATTTTTTCAGTTTCTGGAGGATTGAAATTCGGTGGTGTACCTGTCAGCAAATCAACTGGTAGTGTAGATCAAGGTGGTTTTAAATTTGGAGATGCAAGCAAAGACTCGTCTACTGACAGTAAACCTGTGAGCTCATTTGGAGCAGGACAATTATCTTTTGGAATACCACCTGTTTCAAGTAGTAATTCCACCTCTGAACCATCCAAAAGCTCAACAAATGTGACTGAGGGTTTTAAATTTGGAAGTGGAGAAGTTTCCTCAGGTGGTCCTAGTGTGGGAGGCTTTAAATTTGGGACTGGAGCTAGTGCACCAAATATCACTCCAACAACAGGCTTCAAAATAAATTCTATAGTTGTTTCTAAAAGTGATACTGTTTCTGGTGGTTTTCAGATGCCATCTGTGAAATCTTCACCTGTTGGTGATCAAAGTCAGAATAAAAGTGAAAGTTCTAGTACATTTAAATCTCTATTTGGTATTGATAAATCTGAAATAACATCGGGTCCAAAGACTGATTCTACCTCAGGAAAGGTGTCCAATGGCAGTTTATCAACACCTGCAACCGGTTCTTCAGCTGGTGGTTTTCAGTTTGGAGCTCCTACGAAACCTCCCACTACATTTAGTGCTGGTATGTTAATATTCTGATTGAAAAATCAAGTTTGACTTTGTAATGTTCTGAAAAAGTATCCAGTGGTGATATTTTGGATATTGATTACTAAAACTTTACCTTGAAACCTGACACTGCTGTGTTTTTATGTCTGAGCTGAATACCTATCCTACAGCTTGACCAGTATAACTTGTATTATTACCCCTATCAACAAAGTTCAGTAGGGAGAGGGGGATCTAATGAAGTACTGAAGTCTTGATGAAATGCTACGGCTAATTACAGCCTATGATTTGACAATAGGTGTTCCAAAACAGTTACATGGAAACTCTTTGGAGGCTTCTGGTTGTAATTGAAATATTATTTGATTAAGTTGAAAATTGATATAAAAATGTTTAGGGGGGTGTAAAAAAAAAAACAATACTATTTTACCATCCTGGCAACAGTTTTGTGTTACCTACAGTACACTGGCAGTATTAAATGTGTTAATTTAAAAACAAGGACGTACATAGTAGTGTGTGGTCTATGGCAATACTGATTTTGTTCTGGAAGTGTACACCATATGAATATGAGGGTTGTAATATCCACATGCCAGATAAGATATTAATGAATTGTTCATCGGATACAGGATTTTCCATTAGAAACCTAGATGAAATGTCATGCCAGTGCTAACTACTAAATATGGCATATTTGTTTACAGGGCCAGATTTCACCATGGCTAAGTCATCTGAAGAGACACACAAACCAGCTCCCTTATTTAATGTACAACCACCAGCCAGCACTGTTGCAGCCCCATCATTAAAAAGGAGTCACAATGAAGGTAAAGCATATCTTTTCTTAATATCTAAACTCTGAAACTGATGTAGTGTATTTTACACTGGTCTCTGATGTAGTGTATTTACACTGATCTCTGATGTAGTGTATTTTACACTGGTCTCTGATGTAGTGTATTTACACTGGTCTCTGATGTAGTGTATTTACACTGGTCTCTGATGTAGTGTATTTACACTGGTCTCTGATATTGTGTATTTTACACTGGTCTCTGATGTAGTGTATTTTACACTGGTCTCTGATGTAGTGTATTTACACTGATCTCTGATGTAGTGTATTTACACTGGTCTCTGATGTAGTGTATTTTACACTGGTCTCTGATGTAGTGTATTTACACTGATCTCTGATGTAGTGTATTTACACTGATCTCTGATGTAGTGTATTTACACTGGTCTCTGATGTAGTGTATTTTACACTGATCTCTGATGTAGTGTATTTACACTGGTCTCTGATGTAGTGTATTTTACACTGGTCTCTGATGTTGTGTATTTACACTGGTCTCTGATGTTGTGTATTTACCATGTAGTGAATTTACACTGGTCTCTGATGTTGTGTATTTACACTGATCTCTGATGTAGTGTATTTACACTGGTCTCTGATGTAGTGTATTTACACTGATCTCTGATGTAGTGTATTTACACTGGTCTCTGATGTAGTGTATTTACACTGGTCTCTGATGTAGTGTATTTACACTGATCTCTGATGTAGTGTATTTACGCTGGTCTCTGATGTAGTGTATTTACCATGTAGTGAATTTACGCTGGTCTCTGATGTAGTGAATTTACACTGGTCTCTGATGTTGTGTATTTACACTGATCTCTGATGTAGTGAATTTACACTGGTCTCTGATGTAGTGTATTTACACTGATCTCTGATGTAGTGTATTTACACTGGTCTCTGATGTAGTGTATTTACGCTATCTCTGATGCAGTGTATTTACACTGGTCTCTGATGTAGTGTATTTACACTGGTCTCTGATGTAGTGTATTTACACTGATCTCTGATGTAGTGTATTTACGCTGGTCTCTGATGTAGTGTATTTACCATGTAGTGAATTTACGCTGGTCTCTGATGTAGTGAATTTACACTGGTCTCTGATGTTGTGTATTTACACTGATCTCTGATGTAGTGAATTTACACTGGTCTCTGATGTAGTGTATTTACACTGATCTCTGATGTAGTGTATTTACACTGGTCTCTGATGTAGTGTATTTACGCTGTCTCTGATGCAGTGTATTTACACTGGTCTCTGATGTAGTGTATTTACACTGGTCTCTGATGTAGTGTATTTACACTGATCTCTGATGTAGTGTATTTACGCTGGTCTCTGATGTAGTGTATTTACCATGTAGTGAATTTACACTGATCTCTGATGTAGTGAATTTACACTGGTCTCTGATGTAGTGTATTTACACTGATCTCTGATGTAGTGAATTTACACTGATCTCTGATGTAGTGTATTTACACTGATCTCTGATGTAGTGTATTTACACTGATCTCTGATGTTGTGTATTTACGCTGGTCTCTGATGTAGTGAATTTACACTTGTCTCTGATGTAGTGTATTTACACTGATCTCTGATGTAGTGAATTTACACTGGTCTCTGATGTAGTGTATTTACGCTGGTCTCTGATGTAGTGTATTTACACTGGTCTCTGATGTAGTGTATTTACACTGGTCTCTGATGTAGTGTATTTACACTGATCTCTGATGTAGTGTATTTACACTGGTCTCTGATGTAGTGTATTTACACTGATCTCTGATGTAGTGTATTTACACTGGTCTCTGATGTAGTGTATTTTACACTGGTCTCTGATGTTGTGTATTTACACTGGTCTCTGATGTTGTGTATTTACACTGATCTCTGATGTTGTGTATTTACACTGATCTCTGATGTTGTGTATTTACACTGATCTCTGATGTAGTGTATTTACACTGATCTCTGATGTAGTGTATTTACACTGATCTCTGATGTTGTGTATTTACACTGATCTCTGATGTAGTGTATTTACACTGGTCTCTGATGTTGTGTATTTACACTGGTCTCTGATGTTGTGTATTTACACTGATCTCTGATGTTGTGTATTTACACTGATCTCTGATGTAGTGTATTTTACACTGGTCTCTGATGTTGTGTATTTACACTGATCTCTGATGTTGTGTATTTACACTGATCTCTGATGTTGTGTATTTACCATGTAGTGTATTTACGCTGGTCTCTGATGTAGTGTATTTACACTGGTCTCTGATGTAGTGTATTTACGCTGGTCTCTGATGTAGTGTATTTTACACTGGTCTCTGATGTAGTGTATTTACACTGGTCTCTGATGTAGTGTATTTACACTGGTCTCTGATGTAGTGTATTTACTCTGGTCTCTGATGTAGTGTATTTTACACTGATCTCTGATGTAGTGTATTTACCATGTAGTGTATTTACCCTGGTCTCTGATGTAGTTATGTGGTCTAGTATATTTACAATTACTTATTTTGCTGTTTTTATACAAAAATGTTTCCTGTTTTGAAATGTTTCAATCGGGTTACAATGAAATTTAATCAATGTTGTAGAAAATGGACCAAGTGATACCAAGAGGACACCATTTATGTTCAATGCTGGATCTACAGCAGAGCCTGCAAAGTCACTTGGAAACAATATTTTGTTTGGTGCACCAGCCTCAGCCCCTACTCCTGCAACCAAAGCATCAATATTCCAGACCCCTACTGCCCCTACCTGTAAGTGATGCATTCCAAGTCTAAACTAACTTTGTGTTTAAAAAGTAAAATTTAAGGCTAGATATTTGATATATCAATAATATTAACATGAATTTTACATTCCTGATGAGATAACTAACTTTTATTTTAATTTGTATCAATGCAGCAAGCATGTCTACGGCAGTGTCCACAGCTCCAGCTGGAGGATTTAATTTTGGGATGGGAGGTAACTCTGCACCCTCTGGAGGACTTGGAAATTCCAGCTTTGGAACTACTGCTAAAAATCCTTCTGGATTCAACTTCAATGTTGATTCAAACAAATCAGCTGTGTTCAATTTTGTTGGTGGGTCTAGTACAGGTGAGGCAGGAATGATTTATGCGGAAAATGATCAGCTGTACATAACTTTTTAAAATAACAGGAACAGAATTGTTTTTTGGATGCATGTGATCCTTCAACAAAGATTTTGGACTAATGATTGTAACAATCACACATCTTTTCCAATATTTTTTAAACATCTTATTTTAAACGTTATGGAATAGTTGTTTTGAAAAATCCAGTTTAAAGATGAATGCTTTGCACTTGAATGCAGTTTGAATGTTAAAGTTGTTCATTAGGAAACTGATGATGTCTTACACTAATTCAAATAAATTTTATTATCAGCAGCAACAACAGCTCCTGTTTTTGGTGCAAGCTCTATCAACACAGATGTGAAAACTTCTGCTCCATCAGCACCATTTTCATTTACGGCTCAACCCTCTGCTCCTGAAGCCAGTCAGGGACTTCCGACTCCTTTTGGATCTGCCCAAGATTCTACACCTGCACCTGCATTTGCAGCCAATACATCTGGGTTTGGAACTGGAAGTAACATGTTTAGCAGTAGCAGCAGTACCCCATCATTTGGAGCCAATGGGGCAGTTCCTCCATCTGGGTTTGGTGCAGCTGCGGCCGGGTTCAACAACACGTCAACAGGAAATGCTCCCGCCTTTGGTGCAGCCGCCACCACCTCCAACACTGCACCTACAGGTAGGGAACTAGACAGGGAAAAAGATTTGGTTAAATGTGTAGGGATACAGCTGGTTTATGTAATATTATGCATGATTTATATCTGATTTTGGATTCACTTCATGCTATAAAAGTTGATGAGCTTTTTATATATTTACCTTTCCTCTGTTCAACATTGAGATTAGTTAAACAGCAGGAAATAGAATTTACATCTTGTTTTGAAATAACCTGGGGAAAAAATGATGAAAAATAAAAGTTGACTGGATGAAAATATCACTGTTTATGGAGTATTTCACCTTGTGTCATCACATTTTTATCTTCATGCAAGCGTCAATGGAGTTACTGGTATAATGTTAAAATGAAATAAAAGCAATCCTATACTTTGCTTTATGGTTTCCTGATTTTGTGAGGTAACTCACTGAGTTGAGATTCATGCATGTTAACTAAGACAATTTATTAATATCTAAGTGTGATCATGCATATTATCACTTGGGAATTTGATATTTCTTTAATTCAAATACATCGGATTTTACTTTTATTGACAGGAAGCTTTAGTTTTGGAAATCCACAACAATCATTCAACTTTGGTGGACAATCAAATACACCGGTAAACAATGGAGTGTTCCAGTTTGGTGCAAAACCAGTAAGTTAGAAAGACGGCAAAACTTCAGAATGCTTGTGTTACTTTTATACAAAATAATCAATAACATGTAATTGTGTTAAGAAAAGGTTAAGAGCTTAATTTAAGATATATGACTAACATGTCCCAATTTTGAGAGGGTTTTACGTTGACTTTAAACAATTCTGTCTTGTGAAAATCTGTATCACTTCCTTTTTTTTTTCAAAATAGGGACATTTTGCTAGAAGGCTCCCTGTAGTCATACATTGTTTAACAGAAGTCTGAACATATTCTTTTTATGTCCCGGTCAATTCATGAGAGAGCAAGTAGTTTTATCAAAGTCCATCATTACCGATACCATTGTCACCAATCCAGCGAGGTACACATGCTTTAATGTTTTGTTTTCCTTGTACAGGGTGAAGGAACTCCTGCTGCTGCTGCACCACAGACTAATGCAGGATTTAACTTCAATGCTTCATCTTCATTTAATTTTGGACAGAGTACCCAACCAGCCATGCAAGGCGGTAATGCCTCATTTAACATAGGGTAGGTACACCTAGTCATTTTACTATTGATATCGAAAGCACATGGAAATTCCCACATTCCCCATTTCTCTGTTATTAAAAAATTGAAAATCTTTGTGAATATCAAACAGAAGAAAGGTTATGGTGCTACTTTTTCAGCAATATCATCATCAACATTTCACCGACAGTTTTGCATCAGATCTGTTCCTGAAACTGTTCATCAGTTTAATATATATCTAAGTCACACTGTAGACACCTAAACACATTCATCGTTTACAAAACATCATAAGAGATCTTCCAGCTTGTTTTATTCACCTCATACTTTATTATGGTCATATTGAAACAACACTTTAAGATATTAGATGAGAATTCCTCTCCTTTCTTGAGAAGGTATATTTTTGGTATCAAAATATCAGATGTGAGTGAACTTTTGAGAGAAAAAAATGACATTTTCATTTCAGATTTAACTATCAATCAATATTATATTTAAACATGGCAACAACATACCATATGTTTTGATATTGATGGACAGAGTTAGCTTGGACATTTTTTGAAGTGGGTGGGAGGACATACATAGTGCATTCTTCATTTTGTTTAGAAATTACATTATTAAGAAAGTAAAATAGTCAAGGCATGAAATTGGTACTTTAATTTTCTTTTTTCAGATCAAACAATGATGCAAGTTCAGGAAGGAAAATAAAGAGGGCTGTACGTAAAATACGTCGCTGAAACAGACTAATACCACTGCTCTTTACTCCAGTTTATTGTCACTTTTCAGGAACATTTTCATCCTGGATTGATGTTAACATAGTTGGCATGATCAAAGATCTGTTTTGGATCACTACAGACTGTGGAGAAGACACAGTGTCAAGACAAGTTGAGGATAGAACGAGAATACTGAATTGTGATAGTCAATTGAAATCACTAAGGTTAGATGTATCATGTGACTGAGGCTGGTAACACAGCCGATACAGGAAATATACCATTACAGTACCTGCTGGCACAGTGACAGATGTAGACCACTGCAGCAGTCAGAGGTGGTGCAAGTTTCACTGAGATTGACAGAATTAGATAAATTCACAGTAAAACAGGCTTTTGGACTCACCATTTGTACTTGTGCATTATTTTCTGCATAAGTCTGTGATGTCATTAGAAGTGAAGAAAAAGTATCCAAAGACACAGGTTCATTTTAGAAAACAAAGATGAATTAACGAAATTTGGAATTTTAGGAGTTTAAAAGTTGGACTTGTGAAGGTTATCAGTTCCATCAATTGTAACAGGTAGCTGTGAAAGTTATTACACCCTTAAAAGATTTGTATTTGGATGTTAACAAATTTTCTTTGATTAACTATGGACAACTGCTGCCGATGATATATCTTGAAACAGCAGTATAAAGCTGATGATAATTTACTGGGCATTGCAACAAGAAGTACTTGAATGATGCTATTTTCATCTAAACATATGTACGTATTGCCTAAAATTAAATATAAATTGTCAGCTGTGACTAGTTTGTGAAATCTTATTGCTCAAATACTGCTTGGACACTGTACCGCTTGTCTGGTGCAACACAAATCTCTACATTCCATTGAAGTGATCAGTTTTAAGTTGTCAGATACAGGAGTTCTACAAAAATGTCGTGAAACATGATTAGGATGTTTACGATTATTCATTGAACTAGAAAAATAATAAAAAAAAAAAACAGGTTTGAACAGGCACAGGTCATTTAATTATAATATGGTAGTATGCATACTCTTGGGGTTGCGGTCAGGAATTGTATGTATCGTATATGGTACACATGATGTGATCAGTTTGATTTGACTCGGCATTGGGTTTGGAAGCTTGTCTATTTATTTTTCATTTTTTAAATACAAAGCTAACAAATTGTTTCTTTGCCTAAGCATTGTCAGAGATCACTTTTAGTCAAAATGAGAATTGATGTTTTTTAATCTGTAAATCAACAAAATAACACAGGAAGCACTGTTTACGTATGCACAGATATTATGTAAATAATGACCACTTGTATAATCCAGATATACTTTGTTGGGGAAATTTTGAAAAGTTGTTCATTTCTTTAGTACATTTATATATATCTGTATTAAACAAGAAACTACCACGTAATTGTAAATAATTGTACATAATAGCTGTTTTCATTCTACAGTTGTGTAGTAAAGATGTATTTTTTACATATCTGTAGGCTGCTGGACAAATTTTGCAGGTCCTGTTGGTTTTATTTGGTGCTAAAAAGGGTAATTCCTAGTAATTGACTAATGTACCAGTCTTATTGGCTCAAAAGTCTTATCTTACTAACCTGCAGAGTTTGTTCAAATCATTGATCTCTTGTAGTATCACATAGGAGAAATGTGGGGGTGGGGTTGGGGAATATTAATTGATATTAAGTAACTTGAAAATAATTTATATTGATTTGTTCAAAAAGTCCTGGTATGGGAATTTGTTAAAACACTATGTGGTACTAGAGAAAATTTATTGCATGTATTAGCTTTGAATTGAACTAAAGTATTTGCTTGAATGTGTATGTAATCACAGTCATAAAGACTCTTTCAAACAATTTATAATGGATCCCAAAGTCTTTCCACAAATATGTCGACTATCCTTTGCAAATAGGTATATGTTATATAACAATAACAATGTTTTTAAAAATGTGAACATATTTCGAAGAGTTCTACATACCCTGCTGGTTTCATTGTTTTGAGTGTGTTGTTATGAGGTATAGTTGAGAGCATATGTGGAGTAGTGTTGTAACACAGAATTAATTTATTTGTCCTACATCCTTTGGTCATTTATTACACATGTACTTATATTTCTCTTTTCATCATGCTCTCATCTTCAAAAGTCATTCACAAAAGATGAGGTTAGGCTGTTAAAGCAAAAGCCAGAAACAAAACAAAAGAAAGATATAAAGAAGCTTCCTAGATAATATATAACAACTGGAATCATTTAAAAATAGAACAGGGGAATAAAAAGTTTGTGTTTGTTGATAAACAATAGAAATAAAAGCAAAAGACAAAATTCCAATAGAGGATGAATGTCAATTAGAGTTTGTTTCTTGTCTCTGCGGTTTTAAGTGAGGACATCGATTTTGAGTGCTTCCTTGATACTTCTGTTAAACTCTTTTAACAGAAGAGGTGTCAAATTAGAACTGACTGCCATGTTTAAGCCAGAATGTACTCAAATTAGTATGTAATACAGTAGAAACAACCAGCTCAGATCTGACTGAAAGATTTTTTTTGGTCTTTGATGAATAAGTATTGATGCTGTAATTTATTATTCATACAGTACGGATTGGTGCATGGAGGCCTGCTGGGCTATATTTAATGGAGTGTCTACGCCGATAGAAACACTCAATACACGCTTTCTACTCTGCGTATGGCCTCAGGATTTTGTGTACGTAAATAATTCATATTTGTTTCGTACTGATGCAGTGAATGGTTTCGTTTAGATGTATGCAGTATCAATACATTTGTGCATTGACAAATATTTCAATAGAATATTAATGCTAGGTGTTAAACTTGAGTGAATCTTCTGATACATAATGTATTATGATTTTCTGATAAGCGTTATCCTTCCAACTTGTTAGCATAATGCTGACTTAACATAAAAAACTACAAAGATCTTTTAAAGGTTTTCAGTTGCCATTGTGTCGGCTGTAGCATGTACTTTGTACTCTGATGTGATGATAAGTAGTCAGTCACACCAATGTGAAAGTGGAACTGAATCATTGTCACCCATTTTGGGAGGAATGTTGATAAACAATTTTTCTTCTGAACATTCTCAAATCTGAATTAAACATTGTTCTGTTGATACTCCAATGTATTATTAAGTGTGCTTTGCCACTCGTGGTTGTATGTCTGTCCTGTGTGCTAATTGACAATGACCTCAGCAGGTGTACTGTGTTGTACACAAAGAGTCTTAAAACTGTGATGCATAAGTTGTTTTATTATTATCATTATTGTGTATTATGATAAGGTGGTGTATCTTGTGTTCCATACAAATGCAGGATTTCACAGATGACAGAGTCAGCAAAAAGAGATTTTAGGACCACTCTTCTTTCCACCAAATATACTTAAGTTTGATGTATACATTTGTAGTTGTAAATTTGAAAATACTATTGTTCACACAACTTTTGAACCGTGTTGCATCAGGTGGTAAAGAAAAATGGTTTTATTGTTTTGCTGAGAGCAGCAGTTTGGTGAATTTATTGATACATCTGTTTGTATATGGACTATTTTTACAGTTCTGAAATCATGGTTTGATCTACACTTTCATTCTTCTTCATCTTTCTCTTTCATTTTTGTGATGTTGAAATGTGAATTCACCATTCTGCTTCTCAAACACAAAAGGTTGGGCAATGCCCTGTTGTTATCAAAATTTTGTTTTGGAGATTTATTTTTAGGTAAAAATTCTGGGTATGATAGAGGTGGTTTGTAAGTGAGTGCTGTATTTATTGATGAACGATCTGTGAAGTTCTGTACCTGTGAGTTGACTGTTTGTGGCCTGGTATGGGTCTTGTGAGAGTGAATGGTCGCAAGTCTGGTGGAAAAATTATGATTGTCAATAAAATATCTTTGACATATTTCTGGATTTGCTTTGTTTCTAGCTCAACATTGAACTGGTGAGCTTATGCCTTCGCATTGCATCCATCTACCGGTATCAACTTTTCCTGAAAATCACTGCTAGTCATAAGCAACTAAGCATATTTGGACTTAATTTTCAGAAGCATCCTTGAGGATGGGAACCAGTTTTGTATAAATAGAGGTGTCTCAGCCCCTCCTAAGCCTGAAGAGGAGGTGGATGGCTATAGGTATTTATAGCAATTTCTTTAAAATACTTATCTGATAGGATTCACAGAATTTTGTCTAAATTTCTATAGAATCACCCCAAAGGTGGGGGAACCAATTCTATAAATGGATTATCTGGGGCGAGAGGGACGAGCCAAACAGGAATTATACAGCTAATTAAGATGTTGGACTTTTTAATCATTTGTGGTCTGTCTATCTTGTGTCATCAGTCCTTGAACAATTCTTCTCACTATTTCTTGAGAACTATTGGATTAATTTTTGATTTCATTTAAATGTTTCCTGTGGTTCCTAGCTGTGCCCTTTTGATTGATCGGAAAAATGAAGTAGAGGATTTTCAAATTTCATGAAAAATGGAAAATATCGAATTTTAAATAACAAAATTATTATCATACAATGGTGGGTGGCAAGTTCTCATTTTTTGTAAGATGTTTATCATAACTTGATTTAGATCTTGACGTGTAAATAATTTTAATTGTGTTAATGTTATACCCAACTTACAATGTCAGGTACAGTGTCATGGATATCTAACCAGGGCTAGCTCATTGTGTCAGGTAAGGTAGTCTTGTATATCGAGCAAGCCTGCCTAACTCTGTCTGGTAAGGTAGTCTTGTATATCGAGCAAGCCTGCCTAACTCTGTCGGGTAAGGTAGTCCTGGATATCTAACTAAGCCTGCCTCACTCTGTCGGGTAAGGTAGTCTAGGATATCTAAAAAAGCCTGTCTCACTCTGTCGGGTAATGCTGCCCTGGATATCTAACTAAGCCTGCCTCACTCTGTCGGGTAAGGTAGTCCAGGATATCTAACTAAGCCTGTCTCACTCTGTCAGGTAAGGTAGTCTAGGATATCTAATAAAGCCTGCCTCAATCTGTCAGGTAAGGTAGTCTAGGATATCTAATAAAGCCTGTCTCACTCTGTCAGGTAAGGTAGTCTTGGATATCTAACTAAGCCTGCCTCACTCTGTCGGGTAAGGCTGCCCTGGATATCTAACAAAGCCTGCCTCACTCTGTCGGGTAAGGCTGTCCTGGATATCTAACAAAGCCTGCCTCACTATGTCGGGTAAGGCTGTCCTGAATATCTAACTAAGCCTGTCTCACTCTGTCGGGTAAGGTAGTCTTGGATATCTAACAAAGCCTGCCTCACTCTGTCGGGTAAGGCTGTCCTGAATGTCTAACAAAGCCTGCCTCACTCTGTCGGGTAAGGCAGTCCTGGATATCTAACAAAGCCTGTCTCACTCTGTCGGGTAAGGTAGTCCTGAATATCTAACCAAACCTATCGCACTTTGTGTACGGTAAGGTAGTCATAGATAAACAAACTTAGCTCACTCTGTGTCAGATAATTAGACGTTGAAAATGGTAATTTCTAAAACCTTTCAAATGTTACGGAACGATTGTATTTGGGATTAGCGAATCTATTCAAGAGTACATATATAATTAATGCTGGTGCAGTTTGAGACGGTAGGTACTCTCTGACCTCCAACACAGACTGTCCATAAGTATTTTTTTCTTCAGAAGTTTAAACTAATCACAATTTACTTTTTCCAATATTATTACCTTCGTTCATATACAGAACAAGTTGATTAAATTTGTCTAGTGTCACTAAGTGAATCCATATCATTGTAAGCTGTTCCAGCATAATACCGAGTTCGTATAGATGTACGACGGGTCTTTTTCATTAATATTTTAACACGTTTAAACACATTTATGGCAGTAAATGTTGTTCTAAAACAAATTCCAAAGTTCCCGATTATTGCTATTTTATTCTTTCTCTTGTCTTTGTGTTTTATGAGAAAATGAGCCAGGGCTGTGATGTATACATATTTACAATATATGTGATAGTTTGCTTAAAATATTTACATTCATTACAATGCTTTCATAAGCATGCTATGTAATTGAATAGGTCCGTGTATTGTCTTATTTCCACGAGGCAAGATATTTACATTTCACGCTAAACAAAGAGGTCTGTCGTGTTACCGCCTGATTCGATCTAAACGTGAAACAGGTTTTTTATTATTATTATTTTTTTATTTCGATGAATTCGGATAGGTAATCTCAATAAGCTATCCAAATACTAATTATCAGAATAAATATCTTCGATACATGTTATGTGTTATTTTCTACAGCTTGTCAAAGTTGCTACCTGAAGCAATATGCACTAAAATATGGGTCTTTCCCCGGCTCCAAATGGAATTTTGACACTCTGTGCACATATATACTAACTGTTAGACAACTAAACCTAATCCAGTGTTGTCAGATATAATTTAAATCCTATCCTTGAAAATTTGTACAAGTGTGTGCTGATTTTGAAAAATCAAATTGGACCAAAAATCTTAAGTGCATATGCTTTCAACATTGGGTTTCGATAAAATCTCCAGGGATTCCTACATCAGTTTTTGTAGCACAGACAGCAAGAAGTTACTCGATCCAAAACCCGAACTCAGCCGATGCGTTAAATGATAGCGCTAGTTCCGTAGAATCCTACTTAAAGTGTTGGAGACATGGCGCAATGTCATCGGTTGGGTTCTCGATTTGCCCACTTTTTAGAAAACAATAGAAAGTTTTGGTTTAGGAAGACAATAGAAAAACAATTATCATCGCTATGTTAAGTGTAACATAGGGATTATAGAAGGTCAAATAATAAGGTGTAATCCAGCCTTTGAATTCATATTTTCGCCTTTTCTTGTACATTTCCCAGCTTTAGTCGAAATATTGTCAATGTCATACACGTTAAACAAATTACTTTCCGAACGCACATGTTCTATATTGTTTACCTGTCGTCATTATTCATGTATTTTCAGATCGACCATGCAAAGCGATGAACTGCAAAAAGTACTCCGTCACGGCAAAACGCCATACCACTTTGGCAGGAGATATTGGAATGCACTGTTTCCTTCAGTACTTAAGAAGAATTGCACAAGTCTTTCTAGGATACTGTCACACAAATGGTGATTTGTAAAATGTGTGTTGCGGATGCTAGATTGAACCTACATTTCATGTCCAAATGATTTAGTTGGATAAGAAGAAATATAAAAGTTCATATTTGGAAAATGATAAATGTTCTACAGAATGCACAAGTTAAAATCCAGTTAAGAAGCATTGCGCAGTCCACGTCTAGGACTTATCATCTGTGCAACGTGGCCAGTACATCTATGATTAATGCAAACTGGGTGATATCTTTAAAGGTAAAGGTTGAAAAGATCATACTAGGTATTCTTTTAGTTTTGGAATGGTATTTATATCTGAAGAAATAGTTTTAGTCTTTCATCTCTGCCCTCCATTCAGGCGCCAACCAAATTGGTCTTGTTGGTGTGCATGTTAAATCATACACCACAAATCGAAGACTCACGACCCGGACTGCAGGCCTGTTATATATGTGAATTATCTCGAAAATAGGTCTTTTGTAATTGTAAACACTTTTATTTCCAAATGCAGTAAAACTAGATTTTTCAGTTTAAAATCTACCGAATTACCGACGCAGTTAGGAGTAACATTGTACATCATTAACCTCACAACTCAACTATTAGGCCTACGATATATACTTAGTGAGACACCTTTCTTGCTAGTTTTTACACTGAACGGTCGTTACACTAAACACGAAATTAAAGGCCTATTCATTACATTTTAAATCTAGACTGAAAAGTCGCATGCTAAGCCCCTGGCAATTTCAACAAATTTTTATATTGCTTCTTATTTCAAAAAAAATCCCGACTAACGTTTATTCGAATGTTCCGTAAAATGTATTAAAAAGCCCAATAGAACCTTAAAATAGCAACAGAATTTTGGCTCGGAAAAATAATTTAGATCCCATACAAGGATTTATAAGACATATCTATGTACGTCCCTGAACTAAAACATTGAGGTAGAATTTTCATTTTGTTGGGGTACTGAAAACGTCTTATCTAAATCCCGAACTTAGATAAATATTTCTAGCTTCCGTGTTCGGACTGAAAATCTTGTTATTATATGTTGCGTAGTCATGTCTTGTTGTATTTTCCCGCGAAGTCCACATACGCGTCTCTTCCGAGAGCTTCCGGAACTTGTGACCTCTGACCTTTTTAATTCGGAAGTGGCACATTGATGAACTGTCCAAGAAGTTTCATGTACACAAGGCAAGATGGCTAGCCCCCGGTTCAGAAGAGGTATGCATACCGTGTAAATATATAGAACACAACCTGTTCCCAAATCGTTTTAAAATCTAAAGGAAAGTTTTTGCCAACAGGCGTTGTGATACAGTGTTTGAGACCGGACTCCTCACTTAACTCCGATACATGTTCGTAAACTTTCAAAAAGTATACTATGTAGACTAGTAAAGTGATTGTAAGAGAAAAAAAACTATCGCCAGGCCAAGTCTCTCAATATCATTTGGCTGCTGGTATAACGCACATTCCTTGTGGTATCCCCATACCCATGTTGTTTCCTCTTATAAATACGACATGCATTTGTACAGCCGTACACTATGAGTCTAACTATGATATATTTGCTAGTATAGAAATTAATGTTCAGAAAAAAGCTAGCTGATTGTTGCTGACTTGATATGAGGAGAATTGATTTATGGAACCACTCTGCCTGACACCCTGTGTGGAGAGAAGTTGAAAGCTTAGTCCTGACTTGTGAAATCAATACATATATGCAGTTCAACTTCAATCTATCTCGAGAACAATTGCAAGTTCATTTTAGCTGCACGTTGATTTTATTCTGTTTACATGTGAGAAGGAAACTTAATGATGTAATGTTATTAAGTTGTGAGCAAATCCTATAATTCAATAGGCAGATGAAAGA